AAATGCTAAGCAAAGCTTTTTTTTCAAGCAAAAACTCAAAAATTATAATTTTTTTAACCACTATTAACAAATTATTGTAAAGCTTAAAATGCAGCAACTCTATTTGGCCAGAGAGTTTTAAAGTTTTGATTGTTGCTCATTAGAGAAATATTATTTGTCGATGACATCTATTGAAACCATTAAAATTCTTACTAATGAAAGCATATGTAATATGTTGCTGATGTTTCTTGATGAAAGGCGCGGTTCCTACAAAAGTTTTTATTGAACTCTGTTGTGATCGAGTGAATGTGAAAGTTTGCAAAAATTAGTGATTGTAGTAAAGACATATTTACCTGTCTAATTTTGGCACTGTCGGCTAAAAAATGTGCTTGTATTTTTTATGCGAATTGTTAAATGCTTGTGGAACGACAGTCTAAGAAAGTTATCTTTGGTGCGCCTTGATTTTTTAGCAATTAAGAATACCAAAATTTAGCAGTTTCTATGTTGCAAGGACGCTATTTTTGAATAATTTAAAAAACAACTTCCTAGATGGTGGGACAGTTTAGAATGAACATTTGTTTGCTTCTACTAAAGGAAACTTTTTTAGATGTTCAATGTAAAGCATACAATTTATCATCCGGTGTAAATGATGTAAAACTGCTCAGTTTTATTTTACAGAGAAAAGAAAGCGGCAGTACGGTAATATATTTGAATAGTTAACATAAAATGAATGATAAAATTGGTGGTTGTAGTAAAAATATATTCAAATCTTTACTTTTGGCACTGCCAACTAAAAAAATGTGCATTTATTTTTATACAGATTGTCATATTTTTTTATGGCTCAGCAGTCTTAGGTAATTGAAGCAACTGTGATTTACTGTTGTGATAAGATCAAAATGTTATTTACTGAAAAATCGTTAAAAAAGCCAAAAAATTTTTCTTTTAAATAACCATATTTTATTACACAAAAAAAACTTTTTAAAAGTTCAACAAATGATTTTGTATTACTATTCCTCTAACTTTGGAATTTAGAGCAAAACGTTTTTGCAAATCCAGTATGCTTAACAGTATTTAGTATCCTCATAGTACTACAGCTGTTGATTGGACTGTGATAAACCAGAGGACTGATTAGATAAGAAACGGTTTTATTATGTGCTTTATTGGAATGATGTCATTCTCAACAATACTAATCTAACATTTAGCTTTTTGATATTGTAGACGGCAGATTTTTTTTGTATATTACAAAAGCTGAAAAATTTGTGCAACTATCGTGGAAAAATTTGAAATTTTTATAAGGCAGAAAAAAAAAAAA